GTGTGTGTGTGTGTGTGTGTGTGTGTGTGTGTGTGTGTTTGGATGATTAGCATTCAAATGTTAGCGGTGCTCCTGGCTGCTGCTGGCTCACTGCTTTGTGTCACCATGTCTGCTCATGACAGTTTACGCTTCCCCTCTCGCTTTTTCTTCTCTTTCTGTGGCACGCTGTCTTCCTTAACTCCTCCTCTTTCTGTTCCTCCTCTCACTACAGCACGTCCCTCCCTTCCTTCTTCTGTGTCTCCACTGCCCTCCCGCTCTCCTCCCTTTTCTCTCCTTCCCTCTTGGCAGTGGTGCCAAAGTGGGCAGGCAGAGCGAGGCAAACGCATCACAGGGCAGAGCAGAGGGCAATCGGAAGGCTGGCAGATTCGTCACGTGGACGTTTTGTGTTTTGAGCCATCGCCGTGCGGGCGAGTTAAGACTTTGCTTTTTGGACGTACGTGGACGCGAGTGTTGCAGGTCTGCTGGGGGTCTGATTTGGAGGTTTTGCTGTGTTTGATATTGTGGTTTGTGTGTGTTGCAGGGGCTGTGTGTGAGCAGACGTCTCTCTGTCACTGTGCACGAACAGACGCGCTCACGCCAGTAGGAGGGGATTGTGGGAAAGGGGTGTAGCTCTCAGAGGGTGTGCTCTACTCCTCTCGTTTCCCTTCTTCCCGCCATCACGGCCCTCTTCTCCGCCAGTCCTCCGAGCCCAGCCCGCAGCGCACTCGCAGCCTCCAGGTATTTTACTCTTTCACCGTGCGACACCTCTTCCTGTCTTATTTACTGTCCCACTTATCACCTTTTTTCTGCAGCGCCTCACGCCTTTTCCTCTGTCCTTCGTCCCGTAAACGCGTGCGTCGTCGCTGGATGCCACGCCGCAGCGAACCCGCCGCCATTTTGGCTCAGTGGACAAACTAGAGAAACTTTTCTAGAGCTGAGAGGGACTCTGTAACTCCCCGCTGAGCATCCTCTTTCTCCTGCTCACTTTTTTCTCCTCCTCCTCCTCCTCCTCTGCTCCCCTCTCTGCTCTGGGACATAAACAGTCCATTTGTGGCTCCCTGTACTGAACAGGTGTCTCTTTTTAGACTGACCAGAGAAATAATAATAATAATAAAAACAGGCTCTTTTGATTACTTTCTGACCTCAGTAGTTCAGCTGAACGAGAGAGCTGTTAATGTGTTCAGGTCAGTATAAGAGAGTTAAACATCTGCTCCATTTGGACAAGTGATTCGCTCGTCACATCTTTCCCCGTGCTGCTGTGAAAGGTAACATTTACCCAGTTTCTCAGTCATCTCTGCACACAGTTTGCACTTTCTGTCACTCTCTGGTTAGTGGCAGTTGTTTCACAGAGGCGTCTTGTTTGTGCAAACGTGCTAAGTTTTGTCTCTGCAGTCTAGGGGTGTGGCAGTTTGCTACAACATGGCAATGTTTGGCTTGGTAGTCGAATGAAGCAGGGTGTCTTGCATGTGTGTGACACTTAAGAGGAAACGTGATTAGAAACGAAACCCAGTTCGGGTTCAGTCAACGTTAAAATAAGAAGAAATGTTCCTTCGTTTTATATTTCAACCTAAAGCGGTTTTGACTTGCTGTTGAAGATTAGAAGAACCAGCCTAAAAGATACCTGCAACAAGTCAGAAATCAGAGGATCCTAAAAGCAAAGCAAATATTTTTGCTGCTCTCGATTGAGATCAAACTGAAAATGCAAACCATACACCCGCCGATTCCACTCTTCAACTTACTTTTAGAAAATTAGAATAGTATTTGCATGCACAGCTACAGTAGGAGTCTAGCCAAACACCTTTTTGCCTTACTGTATCTCGGTCTAAATAGAGGTTGATGTTAAAATGGCGCCTACATGCCACGTGTAAACACGAGCAGACCCTTTCAACATACCCCTCACAATTTGTGGACGTAGTGTTTTATCATCCACTTCTGCCAGTTAACCTTGCTGTACTTTAACCTTTGTTGCAAATGAATGCATGAAAATGTCGACAAGTCCTCCACCCCAACCAAAAAACTTCTTTTTGTTGCAATTGTGACAAAGCAAAGAGCGGAGAATCTGAAGAAAGAAGCTTGAGGCAAATAGAGAACAAGAGTTACAGTAGAGAGACAGAGCTAGAGGTAGGAGTGGGAGAGCTCTTTGTCCCCGCCCCTCTCTTATCCTCAGATGAACTTATCGTGTTGCCTCATAATGTTGCTGGGTTTTTCTCCTAGAGGCAGTCAGGCTAACTTCCTGCATTCAGCCTCAGCATAGCTGATTGGCTGATAGCTTGGCTGACCGGCCACAGTTTGCAGAGAGGCAACAGGAAGTTTCTCTTCTCATGCAGGAAGCTGCAGCTGTTCCATCCTGACATACACCACTTTGCACTCTTGCACACATACTTTCTATAAACACGCACACACACATGGGTTTGAAAAGGAATACTTGCATCTATGTGCTGTAAATGCATGTTTATGCTGCATGTGCATGCACGTTTGTAGAATTAGTAAATGTTGTAACATGTGGGCGTGTAATAACACATCAGATGAGAACTGTAAGCTATCAGAAATGTTTGAAACCATGGTGACCACACATCTCATTAGAAGAAAAAAAAGGAATAAAAAAGATGAGGGGGAGAGGATTATAGACACCGTCTGTATTTCTTCATTCAGATGTTTTGGAAACATGCTGACCTACAGAACTGCATGCTTTATAGCGCCCATTATGTATGCATACTTGAAATAACTTTGCACTTTGATACTACAGTACACTGTAGCATCAGTCTAATTGTTGAATATTTACACATGAAAAGACGTCATGCTCTATCAGCTTCTATTTTAAAAATATGTTTACTCATTATTTAACGAGGCAAATTATTAGGAAGAATTTTGTAATCAAAATAACTACTTGGTAAAAGGCAAAATCTCCTCTGCAAAACATAAAAAACCAACAGTTTGTGTGTATTTGTATTTCGCACTTTGCCGTGAGAGCAAACGTTGCAGCTAAACAACAATGTTAAGTTAGAAAAAAGTGACTATGCATAGAATAGCCTCTTTTATTTTTAATCTCGTTAATTTTTTTTAAACACCAGCTGTGTGTGAACACAAAGTCCTTACACTGTGCCCTTTAATGCAAACTTGTAAATAAATCTGTTCACTTCCTTTTTTTTATTTAGGTCTTCGGCTTCTCTAGTTTGAAAAAAAAATCAGGCACATAGTTCATAATAGAAGAAACTACATGTTTTTTTCAATAAAGTATTTTGCTGAACAGCAAACACAGTATCTCATTTTGACCCTGGCTGATTGATCCATGAGCCAAGTTTTTTTTATCACAGTTATTTGTAGTCAAATGCAAAGATCTGAACATTTTCTGATGAAATGATCAATCAGTAAACTCCTTATATGCACGAAGGTGAAGTGTCGTGTTGGATGTTTGCATGTAAGCAAATGCATATGGCAGTACATCTCTGTGTACATGCACACATATGAGCGTGAGCCGCGCGAGTGTTGTTCCCGGTTAATGAGGATATACAGAACATCAGAGCGGGCAACGTGCCAAGTGGGATGTAGGAGGCTCAAAGCTCGTGTCCTTCTTCTAAATGGAGGAATAAAGCGTTTGTCTGGGGGTAGGAGGATAAAGAAATCTGGTTTAATAAAATCACCGTAACATTTTTTTTTTGTCCAAAGGATCTGAAAATCAGGCCTGAGTAAGACAAGACGTTCGTTTGCATCTTTGTAAGGATGGGATTTCTTCATCCTGCCATCTATTGTGTGGCATACTTCCTCTGCCAACGCCAGCTCCCCCGTTGAGCCTCCTCCTCCTCCTCCTCTTTTTTTTTTTTCTTTCTCCCCACCACCTCCTTACTCCCTTATTGAAATTCTGCCTGGCACAGAGACACTGCCCATTCTTGGCACAAAGCTCAGGGACAGGGAGAGAGTGGGAACAGAAGAAAACACACAAGAACCTGTACCCATCGTCTGATGCCCCCGCCTCCTTCCTCCATGGCGTCTGTGCCAAGCATACATCCTGTCTCGAGGACGAAGAGACCAGGCAAGCCAATAGGTATTTCCCTGCCTCTGCTTCCTGCTATAATGTGCTCCAAATTTGAGGAGTTTTTTTTTTCTTTTTGGCAACCGAGTGTTCTGCGTGTGTGTTTTGGGGCTTGCTAATTAATTTGTGCATTAGATGAAGAATGAGTCGAACAAATTCCTTCATCCGGAGCGAGAGGAAGCTGAGGCCTTTTGTTTCCATATTTTTCTTCTTGACCGTTTTTTTTCTTCTTTTTTTCGCATGGGTTTCAACTCGTTTGACAACACAGAAGTGACTTTTTGTAGGGTTTGGACAGGTCAGCAAGTTTTTTCTGGTGCTTAGCCTTTTGCGTTACAGTAACTTTGTTTGTACAAACAGTGGTGGTTTTGTTTATCAGCTGTTTTGATGGTATTTGGTCTTAATTAAAAGAGTACAAAATGCTAAAAYTGATAGTCTCTATTTAATCATTTTCAAATTTTTTAATGTTTTTCCCCCATCAGCCTAAATAAATAGTTTTCTCAGCACATCATGCTATCACTGGTTTTGTACGTTTTAGTTTTTTTCATAAAATAATCACCTGTTGGCTCCACAGAATGCAAAGCACATTACACCTGATAACTTCAGGAGAAAAAAAAGTGATCGTCACCCAAACATGTAACTGATTGAAGCAGGAAATTGCCTCCAGAAAAACATACCCTGCTGTTATCAGAGAAGTGTTATCAGAGGGCAAAAGGGAACGAGGTTCTTGTTTCTGGGCCTACCATTGATGCAGATTTACCAATATTTAGTTTGAATTCAGCGGTGACAGATGCACAGGGGGTCACATCAACAGTTAAAATTTCCTCAGTGGGGCACATTTTTTTCCTGTTCTTGTCTGAGATCCTCCCAGCTGCCCCTCGGGCTTTAGGAGCGTTTATTTTCTAGCTGATGACAGATAAAAACGATTTGGCCCGGCTGAGCCGTGCGTGCCCCTTTCATGTGGCACCGAAAATGTTCACAGTCTCAGACAACAGCACCCAGCAGCGCTCACACGACTGACCGAGTGTGGCCTCCGTGTTTCCAAAACAGCCGAGAGAAAGGGATGCCAATTTTTTTGTGTGTGTTTAGCCGTCAAGCCTTCTTTTAAATCCATGTTTTTTAATGTTCCTGTTTGCCGTTGAATCTTCATTAAATTGACATGTTTTTCTAAAGACACTCTGTCATATCACAATAAGCCCATTTGCCTTGTCCTCCAAACGCAGCCCGAGTCAGGGGATGTTTCTTGGCGACCGAACAGCTCATAGATCTGTCACTAGCTTGGTGGCAGAGGTGGGCATCATGCCAACACCCCCCCCACTCTATTCTCTGTCTGGTCGTCTGTAATCAGGCTAGTGGGGTCGACTGCATACTAACTACAAGCTAGTCTGGACCGACTCTCAGGGGTTGTGGCTGTATGCTAATTTATGCAAGCGGTGTACCCTCTAACCCATTCTCTCTGCCTTCTGAGGCCCAGACCTGGCATTTAGTCTGGCACTCGTTAACCCTTCATTTGCTGCTGTGTTAACCTACTGGCACACTTGAACCCTTTATCCTCTGCCTAGCAATACTTACACAAGCTGTATGCGATCATGCTTGTCTCTGTCAACTGTCCAGCAATATGATAAGGGATTGCCCCCCCCCACCCCCGAGCGCTTCGGCACATGTGATTGAGAGTGTTGTCTGGGTCCGTTGGCTTCGTCTCAATGCTTGGCACACAATCGATTCTACATAACTTGCGATATAACAGCTGTTCTGTCTTTATCAAGAGGCAGCGGGGTCAGGAAGAAAAAGAAAAGGGAAAGGTGGACCGTACGATGTTTTAAAGCCGACCTAAAATGGCCGATGTTCAGGACGCCATTTTGTGCTTCCTTGTTGTGTTTTAGGGGGCAGAATCCCAGCTTTGTGTTCAATCAGAGGCAGCTGTTGAAGGCTGCATTCGCAGGCGTCTGTGTGTGTACCTCTGCCTGAGAAGCAGCAGCCAGCCTACACAGGGATAGCCCACTGCAGTAAGCTCCGTGTTATTATTATTATTATTATTTTTGGCAAAAGCAGAGAAGAATTTCTGGCACAGAGTCGAGCGGCTCTTTTTTCCTCTTTCGATCACATGCCACAGTCTCAGGAAGCCAGTGAGCTGTTTGTTGGGCTTTCACACTTTTGTGCACCCATTTTCAAATGTCTGCTCACTGTTCGATTATTTGTTAATGATTTTGTTTTTGTTTTTAAGAAACGCAGTTCCTAAATCCAGCATTGCAAGAAAAAGAAGCTTGGTTGTTTTATGAGGCTGTGCAAAATTGTGCAGTGTTACTTTGGATTTCTTTTGTTTTAAACTGATAGATGTTCTCTCAAAGACCTGTTGTCATTATACAGAAGCAGAAGTAAAAAGAGAAACAAAGAACCAGAGACTAAATTTGAATAAATCAATCAAATGCACTAAAAATCAGGTTAGGCTTATGAAGCAACAACTCTTCTTGCTCTATCCAAGTCGTGTTTAAAAGATGAGTTCATTAAAATGATATTCTCTGTCTCCTTTTTTTTCTCCCGCAGAAAAAAAAAAGTCTTTGTGGCCGTTTGCTGCTGAAGCAGGATGAATGCTGTCCTTGGGGCTGAGGTAGTAGATTGAATAGTTGTGGGGTTTTTTAACCTCTTTGTCAGATAACTATACAATCTACTGTCTTTCCCAAGGAGATAGCTGAACCAGCCAGTCGTCCACTGTCATCTCCTGATGGACAACCACGCTGCTCATTAAAAAAAAAAAGATCTGCATTCCGACAGATGTATGTAAATTTTTTTAGCTATAAAAATGAAATTTGTTTAACGCTCCGAGGGGTAAAAATGTGACGTTTGACTCGGGTTCTGTCAGGGTGAGGTAGTAGGTTGTATAGTTTGGTGGGTGGGACTGCACCCTGCTCAGGTGATAACTATACAGTCTATTGCCTTCCCTGAGGAGCTTACTGGACAGTGGATATTTACCTCGACATGTTGACTCACGTTAAAGAGCAGGAGCATCAACGGCACCTTTGAAGGATCAGAGTTTACCTAATGAAAATTTTTTTTGTGTRTTGTTGTGTTTTAAAATCTGTACATCCCAATAAAGTTACACCCTTGTCCAAGATGTCACTGAATTACAATTTGAAATTGTCACACATGCAGCTCAGGCCTGATAGAGCAGCAGCTATTGAGTTTGTTAATGTATGGCACCATCTAGTGGAGTCTTATGTCTTGGTTTTTGGAACACAATAAACAGACAACTGGACTGACTTGAGATAGCATGAGACATAAAAATATATTTGTCACTGTTATTATTAAGTCACTGTAAATGCTTCTCCTATCTGCAGGTGCGCAAATGACAAAACACATGTTAAAGTCCTAGTAGAACTTTTTTTGAATAAGAAGAAGCAAGTAGAAAAAGCACCAGGGACCTGCCTGTGTCAGGTGTTCCCTGAGTCGTCACTCRAGGACCCTGGAACAACAGAAGACGGTTCATAAGGCGCAGAGGTATCCAGCAGCATGCAAAATGAGAAGTGGAGCCAAGGAGCAGGCCAGCCATCTCTCCCGGAGAAGAGGGGTCTTCACTCGGGGGCAGCTGTCCTTCAGACGTCGCTGCAGGTTTGTACAGAGCCGTCATGCGTGAGAAAGAGAAGAAAGAAGTGGCAGATTTGGCGGGAAAGGAGCTAATTATTCAAACACGTGAAGTAAATGGGAAATCTTTCTGCAGACACAGCTCAGCATGCTCACCTCCATCAGTGAAATTGAACAAAATTATTTCTACATATTTATAACATGTTGACAGAGTTGTAAAGTAACTAAGTACGAATACTTTGTTACTGTACTTAAGTAGAATTTTTGGGTATCTGTACTTTGAGTAATTATTTTTCAGCCTACTTTTTGCTTCTACTTCTTACATTTTCTCACAATTATCTGTTCTACTTACWTTTAAAAAAAGGCACAAAGTAGAAAGTCGTTACTTTTATTTCATTTTGCTTGTTTTTATTCCAGCTTGTTATTGTAAAAAATAAATACTATCCATATAAATTGTGCCTCCTAGATAGAGTGAATTTAACTGTGGTTGAATGAGAAGTATAAATATATAAAATTAGTTTGTACACAAACAAATCATGTCACACTCCAGCAGGACATAATCATTAAAATAAAAAAGGACTGTACTTGAAGTATTTGTATTTCATGAATTATGATTGCAATTGGCCCGCAGCCTTCATTTTAATTTTGGAGAAAAGGTTTGGGCAGCCTTGATGTATAGGACTTAAACAGCTGGACTAGTGCATCCTAAATTTAACAAATTAATTATTTTTAATACAATATAGTCATTTCTGCATTATTTTTGGAGGGAGGTCACCTAATAAATGTCACAGAACATCTAGTTGCTCATTTTAATTCAATACTTTTTACTTTTAATACGTAAGTACAAAAAATATCAGATTCTTTTTAAGACTTTTACTCAAGTAATATTCCTAAAGGAGACTTTAACTTTTACCAAAGTAATTTTTTTGGTAAGATACTTGTACTTTTACTCAAGTATCACTTTGTGGTACTTTATACAACACTGCATGTTGATTATGACGTTTTACAGGTCTGACCTCAGGTTTGCGTTGTCACAGGTATCAGTTCACAGCGATAGTGAGCAGGGACTCCAGAGGCCAGCATGAGCACAATGCAGCTGAGAAACAAGCACAGGTCAGGGGTCAGGCTCACCTAACAGCACAGCGAAGGGCAATGAAGCTACACCCACTAAAAGTCAACTGCTGCCAAGGAAACCAAGAAGCAAAAAGTAGGTCCCAGATACATCACCAACATGTTTCCAAGGCAACAAGTTAGTAGTTTGCATCTACAGCAGAGTGTAGATCACCCAACTCCCATCACTGCAGACAATTTAAAGTGCTCAGCTATGAGGATCAACTGAGCAGGCCAGGAGTGGGCGGTCCTGTGTGCGTCATGTTTTAGAGCAGGGGTGTCAAATTTTCACTGAGGTGGTATGGTTGCCCTCAAAAGGCCAGTTGTAATTAACTTTTGACGATTTCTGTTTAACTTTGACTAAACACAAAACGTCACATTCCTCATCTCACCTGAACACCACTAACAACTGAGCTCTACATGGTATTTTCTGTACAGAATCAGGGTTTCAACAGCTTCTTGAGAAAAGTATGTGTACAACTGACTAAATGTGAAGTAAACAAGACAGAAATACTATTGAAAGTAAAAGTAAGAGTTTTACTCACTCTTGAGCTGAAGTTTGCTACCATTATTCTGAACTCTCCCACTTTCTAACAGGGAATTCCCATGCATGATCAACATGCATTATGGGAGATAATTATAATAGTAATAATGCATTAATCTTATACAGCGCTTTTTGAGACCCTTAAAGATGCTTTACAATTTTGCATGCATCATCCATTCACCCGCACATTCACACATTGATGATAGTAACAGGGTTCCCACAGTTTAAAGCAAGTTAAATTTGACTTTTTAAGACTTTTTTAATGCCAACTGAAGTTAAATGTAAGACCAATTTCATAATAAACACAAATGAAAAAAAAATAAAACTGGCAGAAACTCATGAATCAAAATACTTTTGGTTGAATTATTCAAATATTGCTAATAGACCAATTGTTTTTAATCCATTTATAGCAGAAACGGTCTTAGCAGTCAGTTTTAAACTTAATTTAATTTCAGGAAATTCTCTAATGACCCAAAATTTGGAGTTTTAKGATCCACAGTGGGGTCTTAACYATAATTTGCTGTAGATGAAACCTTTAAGTGCCTGTGACATCAATTTTTTGTAAGAAGTGAGTGCATTTTTGGAAAGACATCATTAACATATTACAAAACAAATTTCACATTGCTCAAATGAACGATTGAGATATTTGCATGTGAAATAACAGGAAGTGATGTCAAAGGGGAATGTCAGCATGTGAATATTTTAAAAATATTTTTACCAATTATTTTAATATTTGAGATCAATTACAATAATCCTATTTGCAATGTGTCAACATTTTTAAGACTTCTGAAAGATTAATTTTAAGGCTAATTAAGGCCTTATTTTTGGACTGATGAATTCAATGACTTTTAAGACTTTTTAAGGACAGGAAGCCTGAGTAAGTTACATTGTAGCCACAGCTGCCCAGGGGCAAACTGATAGAGGCGGGGCTGCCATACTGCACCACTGGACCCTCTGATGTAGTTTATGGTCAATGCTGGCTTTGAAGCAGCTTATTCTGAGACATCAATACAGGGCTATTCAATTAAATTACTCAGGGGGGCCACAGTTACGTAAAGCCAACAGCTCAGGGACAAGATAAGCATTATTGTCTTTCACCTTCTCAATTTGTTTGCATTGAATCATAAATTTAAAGTTTACTATTGATATAAAAAGTATTAAAGTAACAATTTGGGGTGGGGTGGATGAAGCAGGTCTTGAGTTTGACGTTTTAGATAGGGGTGCACCGATTGCTGTTCTTTTGGCCGATCACCAACTTTAAAAAGTCCGACCTGCCGATTCCGATTTTATCCGATACAGATTTTTTTTAAATAGCTGAGATGTTATACGCTCACAATACACCTTCAATGTTTCAATCTTGTTTTATTGGAAAACATTAAACAACCAATACAAACTTGTTTTAACTGGACATTACCTACATGGAGGTAGATGAGAAGTTCTTTTCCACCGATGTTATCCAAGTATCGGCCAATCTCCGATCTTGCCAAAATGAAGGAAATCAGTGCTAGTTTTAATGCTTTTTTGGCTCCAACACACCTGATTTGAATGAATGCCTGATTAACAGGTTCCTGCAGAATTGAAGAGGCGTTCCTGTCACTGAATCAGGTGTGTTGGAGAAGGGAAACGAGCACAACATGCAGGATTTGACTCTCCAGGACCGGGATTGGACCCCCCCCCCCCCCCCCCCCCAAAATAGGCATTTATATTCAGTAAACTTTACTTTTCTAAGCAATTATAATATTTGTACAAAAATCCAAAATTCTACATTCTTTATCCATGAAAGCATAAAATGTAATCATGGAAAGTACTAGTACCTTTAAAGCCTACCTAAAATTAGTCATTGAGTGAATGAATGCAAGACCAAATTATTCTTTTACTACTTTTTAATGCAAATTTATGTCTATATTGTATATTATTTTCAAAATGTACACAAACATAACATAATAAGTCAATATGTTTGTAGACAACAGTGCTTCTGTGTGATTTAGTGTTCAGCAGCTACAGTCTAGGACCCCATTATTTAACTATGGAAATGAAGCAACGTCGTAAAAAAGTGAAACTTGGCATCTAAACTTTATTCATGTTTGTGTTTGTGAAGGAGGGACTTTCTTGACATTACTGATTAACAGGTCTGTTTGTGATGTTTTTTTAAATGCACCCTTACTTTGCATACAATTTTTTGCTTTGCTTTCAGGTGTTGGTGTGTGTGTGTGTTTGTGTGTACAGTAGGTCTGTGTTTGTAGCCTCGCTTCAAGCACATTTGTTTTTGTCTGCATGACATGCAGTACATAATGTGTCTTTGTTCATCCACATAGATATGGAAAGAGGGCCCGGGTTTTCTTTTATTTTATCTTTGCAAAAAAAAAGATAATTTGAAACCAACAGAGAATGTTTACACAGCCTAAGTTTTATTTAAAATGATCATATCATATATTTCATCTGCTGATCATCTGCAACAGAGTCACACATAAAAAAGTAAAAACACATTAACTCTGAGAAGGAGTTAAATTCTACTTATAAAGTAGACGTGATAATCTTTCAGATTTACTTGGTGAATGCCAGTTGATCTCTGACACACAGTCTGTTACAAAAATTCACATTTATAAACTTCATCATTTCCTACTTTGTCCTGTGTCCACTAAGGTTCCGCAGACAGCTTTGGCATTTCAAATACTTAGTATTTATTTCTCATTAAATAGTTCCTCAGAGTCAGAATCAGCAGGAAGGACATTAGGTGATTTTTTAAAATCTTTGTGCTCATTCTGTTTCTATGTGGATGCCCATTTTCACCCTACAAAGAATTAGTCTCTCCTTGTAGACCTCTCAGCGTCTTCTCGTCAAAGCGGTAGGTGAGTTTCCTTTTCACCTTGTGAATCTCGCCGGTGCGYGAGTAGTTCCTCAGGGCCCGGGCCATCTTTTGATAGGTCATGGTCTTGCGGTTCCCCTTCCTTTTGCCCCACAGCTGGGCCAGGCTCTCCTTGTTCTGAGAGGAGAACTGAAAAGTTCCAGACGAGGACTGAACCCACCAGATGCAGCTTCTCATCGATGGTGTTTGAAGCATCTCGAACAGGAATTGGAACAGGCGTTCTTTCCTCTTTCCTGTTAAAGAGGAAGGGGGCAGAATAAAAATGAAAAAGAAGAAGCTCAGCTCGAGATAACACCTTGTTGTTTGTACTGCAATGAACATGTTGAAATAAACTGATTGCTCTATTATATTATTATACCTGACAGTGGGACAAGAGGCAAGTTTCTGTCTTTYCTGTCTTCTCTGTCAGACGACGGTGATGGTGAATCTTGGTAATCCTGATACTGGGAACTGCTCGACTGTGAATCSGAGTCGATATATACAGGAACTTCATAGGGGTATGCAATGTGTTCCTGAAGGAAAAGAAACAATTGCATGGCTGTCACATCATTTAGTTTTCATATGAAATCAATATATTTGCTTAAATTTTAAAGTTGTGTACTCACCCACTGGTTGTTGTGAGGACTCAGCCAGGCCGGATGCGACGCTAGCTCTTTGTATTCCTTGTTAGGAGTGTGAGAACCGCAATGCCACTTATATGCATGCTGACCTGACCAGCTATTTTCTGTGGGAAGCAAGACACAGGATCCAGTCAGATTCAGGGAAACACTGTGACACTCCACACAGACCTCCACCACCACCATCATCAAGCTAACCTATGATCCTGGTATCTCGGTGGGAGTGTGTGTGCGTTTGTTGGCCCATTGTGGTCATGGGCATGTGAGCAGGCTGGACCTCCAGGGAATGCTCCTGCAGGTATTCCTCAATGACCTCCAGGTCAACCTCGGGGCAGGAGGAAGGAGCAACTCCACTCCAGCACCCCCGGCCTCCATTCAGCTTGATCTCAGTGACATAAGACATCTGACAAAGACAGAGGTGCAGACATCGGACACACTCAGTTATCTAATCTTTTTTTTTTACACACACAGTGGTAAACATTTTGCATGATAGAAGTTATTTTTGTCAGCCATTGCCTGAGATCAGACTAAACATGTTTATTATGTCCTTAAAATCTATTTTCAGGGACTTTAAAATTAGCCTGGAGTTTTTAAAAAGATAACTCATCTAATGTAATTCATAATTCATATATTAGGACATTGATCAACAAAAAGACCATTTGCTAGAAGGGACCATGTACAGGACAGTGCTGCTTTTTTAATATATGTATATATATATATATACACACACACACACACACAGTATATAGCATTGTTCCATGTTTGGTCCCTGCTGAAATAAACCTGGATAAAAACTGATAATAATAGCTCCAAACTGTGAGATATCTATTTTGCACTGTGTCCCACACTGTTTGTGACTTGGAGCAAAGCCAGTTTACAACACTGAGATGGTGTGTTTTAGTTTTGACTGGCAAATTTATGCAAGTGTTTGTGTTTTTATTAGCGTAGATAACATTCAGCTACCACCGGTGTGTGTGGCTTAGCCCCTGCTCCCACCAACGGCCGCGAGCCCTCGCTGTTTACACTTCTGCTACAGATAGGTGCTATTTTAGACTCTAGCAGCAATAAAAGAAATAAATCTGTAACAAAATATGCGTCAAACTCACCGTATCCATTTCTGTCAACATGCCTTAAGCCCAATCTGGAGAGAGAGAGAAAAGATTCTCATCAGACACCACAAATAAAACAAAACTTGAACAGAGAAGTGAAAGATGCTGTCATGCACTTTTTTTCTTAACTTCTCAGAATTGATTATACGCAAATAAAAAMAMAMMAACAAAAAACTCAGATAWATGTACCTTTTAAGTCAGCTGTAGTATCCTCAGGCAGTGGAAAGTGATGATGTGAGACTCTGAATGCTCACCTGTATGATGCTTCACTCCACCTGTTGCCTCTTATACTGTTCACACACCCGCCCTCCTTCCTCTTCYCATTGGCTGCTCTGTGTCAAAGTGGGAGCGGTTTGCAAAATACAAGGTAATTTTGGATGCTGATCGTCCTTGTTCTCGTCAGCGCTAATTAAAGACGAACTACTGTAAGCTTCTGTTTTTGCACAAAACCACATGTTCAGCTGTAGGCCAACTGGTTCAAATCTATTTGGGTTTATTTCAAATGAAATAGACTTTTTGATAGCAAMGTCTCAGTCAGATGTTTTTACTTGTGATGTTTTGGTTGCTGGAAATCAAAGTGTAGGGTGTRTCTGTGGTTTGTTATCATTGCGTGTACCACAGAGAAGGCACCACTGAGGCTGATGTGGCTTCGGAGTTCTTATGGTATTAAAATGCTGATGGAATCAAACAGGACTCCCTCATGAAGTTAGACCGAAAGATGTGTGAGAAAATATTTAGTATAATGTATGAAAATGGCATTACGTTTTAAAAAAAAGCCATGAGCTTCTGCATGATTCTGGTCCAGTAGAGCCTTAAATTCAGATTGTAGTAGAACATTTATCTTTTTGTTTTAATAACTGTGATCACCAGCTCATTTAAGTTATATTTTGGGTAAATAGTGGAGCTAMTGTTGTTCCAAAAATACAGCCAGAATTTTTGTTTTATGATGATATATTACCAAATAATATCTGTGTTTATGACTAAGATTTATATGTGTTTATTCAGTAGTAAATGTTTCACAAGACAAAACATGGCATGACCTTTGTGCATGCAAATAACCATCAAGTTGTATGTAAATATCCATGTAACGTAACTGACAGCAGAGTGAAGTTTTATAAAATTGTGTTTGCATAACCCACTATCAAATTTTATTTATTTATTTATTTATTTTGAATTGGCCTTGTTTTAAGGTGACAACAATCCACTTTGGTTTTGGCCACATTCAGATTAGTTAGCTTCTCAGTTTGCTCAGAATAGATACAATGGGATCTATTTGTACACTGAAGCTGTAATTTTTGAATTGCAAATAAGAAACATGAGCTAGAAAGGCTAGAAAGCATAGGAATTCTAACTGGATATTTTACCAAAACCAGAATCCACTTTTGCTTTACATGTAAAATAAACCAAACCAAAACAAAAAAAGTGATAAACTTTACATTTATTTTCACTTCTACCAGTTTGTTTCCGACTAAAGTGTTTGTTGATGTTCCGACTTAACTTCAACACCATATCACAACTAATACTCAACTAATATCTGACCTGATTTAAATAAGTAGCTCTTGAATGACCTCAGTTTGGAGAAATGAAGTCGAAAGCTGCGATTGATTTACCTGGGAAGTTGGAAACCACATCTGGGAATGACATCACAATTTACTGCAACTCACACAATCTGTACTAGTTGTCATTAACTAGTCTAACTACAATTAGCAATGCTGCACATCTTTGCATTCTATCACTAAGTACTTTTTGTGTGTGTGATTTAAAAGACATCTGACCAATGTCGAGTTATAAATTACTGTAGATTGGTATGAGCTGCTTATAAAAGCTAAGCAAAGTCATAAAAATCAACTTTAAATCATTTACATTTTAACGCAGCATTTCTGGGTACACTGTCAGTGTTATAACAGGTTAAATCACCATCATAGGTGGTGATTTTTTTTTCACCTGTTTATTGTTCTTGTACAACACGGTTATTAAATCTCATAGTCAGGTCAGCAGAGGGAAGCAAACAAAGACGTTGCATCACACTCCTTAGACACTCGTTGTCACACAGAGGTTACTCTGCGTGTTCTGCTAATAGTTCCTTTTTTATTTTCCTTTTTTTTTTTGGTGTTACGTGTTTGTCATCAGACGTAGATTCCAGCACACAACAAACAGGCAACACTAGCTTTTATTTTTTCCTGTGCGTTGAAGCTGAGGGATTTCCCCACATTTTGTTTATGGTCTGGAACAAACCTGTTAAGCTGATTGACTCAAAAAGTGGGTTGTATAAAAAAATGCAGGCAACTAGAGGGCAGTTTAAAAAACAAATACTTGAAACTGAAAACACATTTTGAAACTGTTTTTTTTTTAAGATTTGGAGATCAAATGTAACACTAAAATTAGTTTTGAAGCTTCTATAACAATCCAACACGACCCTGCTCAAATGAAAAAAAAAAGTTTTATCGTGGATAGATTTAGCTTTTTTTAAACAAATATTATTCCAACTTTTTCCAAATTTCAAAATGTACCAGGATATTTCTGCACAGCACGTGCTGGGGTTAGATACACATTAACTCAAAACAGATGAAACTAATCAGAGAAGAGTATAATTTATATGATATTGGGTCAAGAGTAACAGGTCCAAATGCAGTAGTGACCTCCCTTGATGAAGGATATGGCATGTATACTCCCTGTGTGTTATACCTGTGCCTTTATCTCAACATGATTAAAAAAAAACACATACAAGGATGGGATTGCTAATTTGTCATGGTTAAGTATGGAAATTCATTATACTGAAGTATTATTGCCCCGTGACCCAGAAAGGAAGAAGCTGGTAAAGATTATGGATGGATGGATGAAATATGACTCTGGACATTAGCACTGTAAACTAAGTGATACAAGTGGAATATGTCAAGTGTTTAAACAATCACTTGATTGAAATCCAAGCACTTAAAGTTGTGAAAAATATTTGTATGTTTATTTTACTTATTTTTTTTATTTAGCATTACTGTATGGGCCAGTGCATAAATTAAATAGTATGCCAATGTACACTAGCGTGTATTTACAGTACATTATATTGTACTCATTAACTGCACATTCTGAAACATTGGAACTTTTTAACAAGCACTTACGTATCGATACTTGATCTGCTGCCTCCTTATTTACATCCCAAGATGTCACAAAGACCGTACAGTTATAGTCTGCGCTCCCAGGGTTTTATTTCTTTCAGTGTCCCCTTAGTTTAGAACTTGGAAAAGAGGACTTCTCCCAGTTTGCTCCAACTTCCTGCAGCAAGAACTGAAACTGTCCAGTCTGACCCCACTGAGACATTTTAAGCACATTTTACACATTTGCCAATATGTTTTAGAATCTTTGTGTAACTAATGTTATGTGGGAGTGTAACAAGTCCCTCTTGCAAATGAGATTACCTGTCTAAATATTATTTTCTTTCATGTTTGTGTGTGTGTGTGTGTGTGTGTGTGTGTGTGTGTGTGTGTGTGTGTGNGTGTGTGTGTGTGTGTGTGTGTGTGTGTGTGTGTGTGTGTGTGTGTGTGTGTTTAATAAATTCAGAACAACCTAGAAAACCTGTTCTGCAACATGAAACAGCGTCTGAGAACATTTAAGAGAACACCTCAAACGTATAGCACATGATGAGAAACACCTTTTGATTCATGCCTCAGGGATGCTAAGTTCACATGCAAACCAGGCGAAAGCAAAACTCTCCGGAACATTACAGATAAAACCACAGAGAAGGCTTTAATCCTATAGTGACATGGCAGGTGATTTACTGTTGATAAAACTTGTTTGCTCTGCAAAATTTAAATACCCTAACCCTATCAGGTCCCACCCCCACCACGGTCAGCATTATCTACAACATGTAATTCTTTTAGGAGCTGTCATTGTCAAGATCAAAGCAACAAAAAAACACAGCAGCAGCTATGATATGATTTTTTTGAGTATTTTTTAACCAGTTTTCTTTGTTGAGGATTCTGGGCTTTAGAGTGGGGCACCCTGGACGACTTCTTCTCTACTCCATTTCACCACAGAAGCTGTTTCTCTTCGTATCTGTGGAGCTTTTTTCATTCAAAAATTGAAGAATGTGAAGTTCCAATCTTTAAACGTTTCCCACTCTCCAGTCTTTTAATTGAAAAACCTCCTTAAATGGGAAGAGAAACGTCTTCAGCTCCAGAATAAAAGCCCAGTTGCTTTGATTTGAATATTTTTAGGATTTCTGTAATAATATTTTAGAAATAAGAATCTTTCTTTTTTTTGCACAACTCCACATTATAATCAAAATTTTTATTATCACTGTCTTTTAAGTTCATCTAAATCCTGTGTATGCATCCAGTTCACATTATCTATAAATCTATATCTATGGTTTGTAARCTGRATTTCAAGGACCTGTAGTGCAGTGGTTCCCAAAGTTGGGGTCGGGACCCAAAGTGGGGTCCTGAAACATCAAGGTGGGTCCTGAAAAGATTTTGTAAATTAATTACATTTTTGCCTTAGTTTCCTAAAATGCATAAATGTAGAATAATAAATATTGTTACTATGCCCATGTTTAGTTGACCTGATACAAATGTTTATCATCCAAAAATAGTTGTGGGCACAGGTCTCTGCTACTGTGATTTTGTGGGTCAAAAGCTGAAAGGTTTGGGAACCACTGCACTTCAGAAATCAATTTAAAGTGTAATAAAATAATTGG